AGAGGCCTAAGTTGGATGAAGATCAGAGGCTCTCAGACTTTCTCTTAAGGACTGGCTCTCTCTAGGAAAGATGCTGGCCCCAGGAAGCTGGGGGTCTGGGCTCCCCAGAGATACAAAGGGAGGTGGGGATGGGAAGAAGGTCTGAGGGATCCAGGGGCTAGAGGGAGGAATTGGGTTGATCTGGAATCAAAGATCAGGAAGCACTGGGGAGTCTGGGCCAAGATGTCAGTCCAGCAGTCTGGTGTGCCAAGACAAGAAGTGTGCCATTACCCCCACTGGGAGGAGAGATCTGTACCTGTTTCTTACTAATGCAATACTTGAATTTACTAGTTTACAATTTTCTCACATGACCTTTTTTTCATCTTATATGGCTCATTTATTGATACAATTATATTTCATATATACATGCATATACATGAACACTGCAACTTTTTACAAAATGATGACTCTGCACACTACAGTGAGATGTATGATATTTTTTATTGAATTTTGCAATTTTCTGAGTTGTGTCCCCAGCTGTATGGAAGGTTTTCAGTAAGTTTTATAGGCTGGCCTTAAACTTGGGTTGCCTCCAAGGAGGACTTTAAATTTGTGCCATTCCTCCTTAGCCTTCCAAGAAGCTGGGATTGCATCATGCCTGGTTGATTATACCTTTGACTTCTCCCTTGAACATGAAATTTAATTCACAACTTCTGAATATTTCTACCTTATATACAAAATTAGCCCAGTATTCTCTTTTTAATTAATTTCACCTTGTGTTTTAATCTTGATTTGTAATATGGATGACATTTTTTGTAATTTTTATTTTATTTTGATAATTTCATATGAGTATTATATTTGTAATATTTCCAATTCTCCTAGTTCTTGTCAAAGTCCTCCCATGTTCCTCTCTTTAATTTTACATATACACACACACACAAAAACACACACATATGTATATATTGCACTGAGTTCATTTAGTGATGTTTGTATAGACCTGTGTTTAGGGCTGACCACTTGGAATTAGATGGGGCTAGTCTCTGGAGAAAACCGATTCTCCTCTCAGAATCCATTAATTTCTTGAGGTGGGACTCCATGAAATTAACTCTATTGGGGTAGTAGCAGTACTTTTATCTTGGTAATAATCAATAGCTCTCTAATTGGATTGAATCCCCACTCAAAGGGAGGAAATTCGTGTGTGGAACTAAAAACATAGCCAAGTACACATTGGCTGCAGTGGTCATAGACCCTGGAGGAGAACCAACTTCTGTTACTTCCTTAGACCAGTGTAATTTCTTATTATATTCTAACTATGTATCCTTATAGTTACAGACCATTGTGCCTCTGACTATTCATCAGAGAAACTTCATTTTTCAATAGGTGGAGATTTTTACAAAGTTCTGCAACTGGTCAAATGCAGAGATTAGGTGACAGTGAGGATCCCAGCCCTAAGAGATTCATATACAATGCAACCTCTATACCTAAGGCTTAGGGAACCTCGCTGAATGGGGGGTAGAAAGTCTATAAGAGCCAGAGGGACAAGACACTTGCTGCCAGTTATTACACTATAGATATGATAGGGAACGTGCACCAATGAAATCTCCTAGTATGGTAGTAAACCAAGATCACATTGACAAAAAAATTTGACTTTTCAATCACCCAGGCACAGCCCATTTACTCATTTCCTTATTTTCTCTCATTTCCTATTTTTAATGGTATTTTCCTTGCCATTACCCAAGTTCCTCCATACCATCTCCCTATGAGGAGTCATCTAAATGTCTTAGAGTAGAGTAGCATTATATGAACACATCCTTTAACTGATAACTGTAACTATATTGTCATAAAATTTCAAAGTTCAAAATATTCTATAATCATTCTTTATTTCAAATCTTTAATGTAGTTTCCTTTTCTGGTGAATCATGTCACATTGAAATACCTGAAGTTCAAAAGCAAGCATAATCTGAGTCCATCCAATTTCTAGCATAATTGCCTGTGCTGTATACTCTCCAAGGATCCTCATAAATAACATATTGTTATTTATTTTATGCAATTACTTAAGTAAAACTGTCTTATTATTAATTTTTTGTATCTCAAAATTATACTTCAGTCTTTTTGACCCAACTAAATTAGCTAGTTCCCTTACCCATATTGAGCACATATGCCCCATTGCTCTAATAGACAAATTAAAATCTACAAATAGAAAAAATGCTATATTTATAATTGATTTTGCAACAAAATCTCAGAACTGTTAAAACATGGGCCCTAGGACTTACATGTGGTCAAGTGGAATCAATTGTAGTCAGGCAGTTGTGGATCAGGGATGATAACTTTGCTATTAAAGAAGGGTAACTTTAAACAAGTTACTTTACCTTTTGGTGTCTCAATTTCCCAAATGCTAATATGATGGAAAAGAACAACTTCAAGTTGTTTTGTGAAAATCAACGTGATAATGTCTATAAAGTATTTAGTGGTTGATACAGTTGGCACTAAGTGAAAAGATAGCTATTGTAGTTATTATAACCAAAATGGAAGAAAATAAACACTTGTTAGGTAAATAAATCTCTGTGACCTTTTACAAGAGAAAGAAAGAAAGAAAGAAAGAAAGAAAGGAAGGAAGGAAGGAAGGAAGGAAGGAAGGAAGGAAGGAAGGAAGGGAAAGAAAGGAAAAAAGGGAAGGGAGGGAGGGAAAAGGGAAGGGAGGGAGGGAAAAGGGAAGGAAGGGAGGGAGGAAAGGAGGGAGGGAGGAAGGAAGGAAGGAAGGAAGGAAGGGAAAGAAAGGAATGGGAAGAAAAGAAAGGAAGGAAAAAGACAGCAACTTTTCTGATGTTGGTCATAGAGCTCAGGGTCCTTGCACACATTAGGCAAGTTCTCTATCACTGAGCTACTGAGTACCATCAGTTCTTTTTGCAAACATTTTATGACAAACTCACAGCTTTTTTCTACATAGTCCTTCCAAATTCTGTCTCTGATTTGTTTCATTACTGCAGAAATTTGATTGCTTTGTGTACAAAATATTGGTTTGAGGTATTTATTTTTCCCAAGTCAAGTGGCTATGAGAGTTAAAGAGTTTGCCCCAGATGACTAAGCTACATTATTAACTTCTTATTGCTAAGGTTAACATGAAATTGTGGCTTTTATAAAGCTCTGTTTATCACTGATGTCCACATGGGATGCCCCATAACTGGGGTTAAAGCCCCCAGTAAGCTGTGAAGTGGGCTGAGCCCAAAGTGACTTGTGTACTAGGCTAGAGAACCTTCCAGTTTTGTGAGTTATTGAACAACTGAATTTCCTGGACATGTTTCCTTCATCCGCTTCTGAATTTCTCTTTTGTTACAATGCTCCCCAGAATTTCTTGGGACGGATAATAGAAAGAATTTATTCTCTAATCATGCGCACTTCTTGGAATTGAAGGTCAGCCTTGAATTTCTTTCAAACCACAAAATTAGCATATCATTAAATACAGTATATATAAATACATATATACAGTCCCTAAAGCAGGCAGATCATCATCACTCAGCTTCCTCTTCTCTCCCTGTCCTCCACCAAAGGTAAGACTTTCAAGTATGAATTTGATATACCTCTTCTTCATTATTTATTTCTAATCAGGTTGGGTTGTAGATAGACTATAGTTACTGAAAATAAAAATTTGCGATTAAGGTATTTAAGGAAGTTATGAAATTATTTTCAAAGTTGGGTTAAAATTATGGAAATGCTTAGAAAGATATGGTACAAATCACAGTGAATATTGACTTCATGAATATAAGAAAATCTAATGACAAATACGAGCTAATAAATAGTATTAAGAGGGGATTAACTATTTTTTAAATATTTAAGTAATCCTTCCTATTTAACTTAATACTTTGCAGCCATAAAGTAAATAAATTTAAACTACATTTTGTAGATATAATTATTTATAACAAAAACTTTATCCAGTAGGTAACTATTAAAGGCAGCAAATTAAGAAACAGAGGAGGGAAGTTTCAATTCTAAGCACAACTTTAAATGTCTATAAACAAGATCGTAGCCACACAACTTGTCCAGGACCTTCAAGTTCTTTATTTAACTTATAAGATTTCAAAGCAATAGCAAAAGGAATGTGAAAAATAGAGAACTATTTTTTTGTCCTTTTGAGATAGGGTCTCCTAACTAATTTAAAATTATAAGTTTAAATAATTTAAGTAGAAACAAAGTCTTCTGCTTTGTAAAAGAATTCTAAAATGGACAAAGATGACTTAGTAGCAGTTATGGAAATAGAATGATTTTTAAAGAAAAATAGTATATAGCATACCAAACAATAATGAAATTCTGGTTTAATAACTGGAATATAACATGGTAGAGATACAATATAGAAACTGCAGTGATATTTTCCATACATGCATAATCTATAAGAGTCACATTTTTAAATCAGTACAATTAAACTATTTGGAAATTTATAGGGTCTTTGACAAAATAAAGTTAATGAATTATGCAACACTCATCAGAAAGATTTTAAAAAATCATTTTATTAATAGAATTATTTTACACATTGAAGCATTGAAACAAAGTAATTTGGTGCTAAAGTATTAGAATAAAGCATTTGAGTATTTGTGTATATATTTAAAAGTTTTTTTCATGCTGAGACCACTGGCATGCAGCTGTGCATTCAGCTTATACACTTTGTGCTGATCAGTCTTCCCTGGAAGTGAGACTCCCTGAAGTCTGAAAGCTTAATATTTTGTTCACTATATGGCACTTTTAAGTGCTGAATATAATAAATGGCTAAACAAATTAATTATTAATGAATCTTTAAATGCTTCTGTGTTTATGATTTTGCAGCTTTTGTAAAACATTCGTAACACTGTCAATGGAAGTGAAAAGGCATGAGTGGAAAAGGGCTCTGTTAACCAAAAGCTGCCTGAATGGCTGATAGTAAAGTTTGAATTTAATATTTAGTAATTGTATTTAGAAGATAGAGTAGATTTTGGCTTTGGTTGTCTGGATAATCTATCACCACCCTTTCATCTCCACAGGATTCGACAGCAATGAAGGTCTTTATCCTCGCCTGCCTTGTGGCACTTGCTCTTGCAAAGGAGGTATGCAAAGAAGGGTCCTAAGTAATTAAAATGTAGATGAAAATCTGCCCACGTGTAGAGAAAATGGACGTCAAACAGTTTAGTGTGCCAATAACGGAAACGTTCACCTTTATTGATAATTTATTTGCTGCTTGTATGAGAATCAATCAGTATCTCAAGGTTCCTGTAGGGTCTCAAATCTGGAACAAACGCTTGTTGCAACTTTGCACCACCAAAATGCCAAACAAATCCATAAGTGAAAAAGCAAAGAAAAAGAAACACAAGCACAAACAACTGAATACAGTAATACAGAAGTAGAATTGCATGTGAGGCTCAGGAAAGGCATCTTATTCCAATGACAAAGATGAGCAGGCCAAATCCTACTGTCTATAAAAGTCATTCAGAGAAGGAAAAGCAATAATCCTAATCATACTAGAGTAAACGCATAATCAATATAAACAATGTTGAATAGAAATTAAAGTAATTTCCTTTTGGTTATTCATCAAAAATTCTGTCCTAATTCATACAATATAGGAATGTATCCATCGAAAATTATCAAAAGGATAAAAAATGATGACAATATGTTTCCAGGCTTTTAAAGGGCACATAATTTATTTTTTTTAATTTTCAAATTTATGAAACAGATAGATGGCATAAAAAGATAAAAGAAAGCATGTTTAGTAAAAAGTTAGTTATAGGCACTGAAATGATTTGCTTTTCATTACAGAAGGAAGGACTCAGCGTATCCACTGAGGTAAGATTGTTTATTGAGAAAATTTTCCAATCATAACACAAAATTCTTTGATGATTTAGAAATCATAGTTGAATACACAAATTAATATATACGTAAATATGTTTTACAGACATCCAATAGCCCTTCCAGCAGTGAGGTAAGGCAATTATCATTCGAAAGCACTTTCTAGATGTAGAACAGTAAAGGTACATTCTGTTGAGTTACACTGTGGTAGTTAGACTAATGCAATCATATACTAATATATACTTTCTGGTGCAAATGTTTAAGGACAAAAGAAATGCAAATGTTTTATACATGTTTAAGAACAAAAGAAATGTCTAGATATATAGTATTCTAGAAATTACCAAGCTGGTTTCTTATTTGAACTTCCGCCACTGCCTCCTCTAGGCTTTATTATTAGTGAATTGCATAGTTCTGCTCTCTGCCTTAAGCTTTAAATTTGACCTAGTGCATTTTTCATATGCATCATGTGCCTTTCTGGACCAGGCATCAACTAGCAGCTGCATTCCAAAGTGGAGACTGTGATGCCAATGATAGCAATATGCCTGCACATTAGTTGTCAGAGTTAGAGACAGTCACATTTAGTTATTACAGTTGACGCTTAGGAAAATAAAAATTAAATGAGATTTAACGTAATCTTGAATTTACCTGAGAGAATCACATAGATAGTATTTTCTAGAACCACTGCTTTTATGAGTTAACATCTGTTTGGCAAAAGATATAAATATACATTTTGTCTCTTCACAAGGCTATAAGTGCCTCAGAGGAAGTATTTATTTGTTGCAGTTTATTTGAAACCTAATGCATTGACAAGTAAACTAAGAGTGGTTAGTGTAATATATTGAGATTAGACTGCATTTTCAAGTGTTTATTATTAAGAATCAGGTGAAATTTTAAAGATCATGTGTCATCAAGAGAAAGAACTCTGATTGTAGACTGAGTCAGCATCTTTTAGATGCAGCTTTTTGAACTATCTCACTTTTCTCTTTTGCTCACTAATCTTTCTTGCATGCGATATGGTTTTATACAAAAGTTTAAGTGAAAGTTGCAAGTAACCTATTATTAGCTTATTGGGTTAGCATATTAAATTTTAGTACACATCAAAAAATAGAAATATTCAATAAACCTAAATCTGATTTCCTTATTTTTCTGAAGGAATATGTTACCCTCTTCAACAAGGTAAATGCCTTATATTAAAGTGTAAATATTTAAAAAAAAATTTTATTTTGAAGATGGTGAGATTTATGTATGGATTATTTTTAGCAGAAACTTGAGAAGGCTAAACTTGTGGGACAGCTTCAAGGAGAGGTAATTTGTTCATGTTGACTGTATATTCCCAAGTTTTGTGAGGCGTGATAACAGAAAATAATTGTAATGTATATGTTCATGCTAAAAAATGTTGATGTATCACTGCAATAAGCCAGTGCCTATATGTTTTCTAAGTCATGTGTGTAGTTGCTAATTGAATATCTGTTCTTAGTAAGTGCAAAGTAACATAAGAATTTCTACAGTGGAGACTATGTCCCTTTTATTTTCAAAACAAATATGATGATGAAAGGGAACAGTGTGAATGTAGCAAAAAATCCTGAAGTGCATTTATAAGCTACATAAACTTGGTTGCCAGTTACTTTATAATTCATTTTCTTCACTTGCAAGCTGAAAATATTCATAAGAATGTACCATAGAGCTGATTAGCTAGCATTCAGCAGTGAAGAGTCAATGATTTTGCACTCATATTTCCTAGATTTTATAATAATATTCATTAATTCATATTTACATATCCTCAAGACCATTTATATTACAAAGATGATAGACATAAGGCATGGAATAATTGTGTGCATAATTGTGTGAAAACATGAGAGTTTAAAGTAACGGAACTTGTCTTCATATTTATGAGTTTTTTGAATAGCATAAAGTTCTGCAATTAAATTACTCTTTTGGTCATATATCTAACTATAATATTTTAGTTTCATTTTTTCAATAGATTAATAGGTATTCATGCTATATTTTTAAATGAAATTAAAAATTTTAAAAATGATGCCTCTTGAGTCAATAACTACCTTTCACCAAGGAAAGCAATGCTAGAAGTGGGCCAGTATTAAGTAACTGAATTTAACTATGAATTGAGGCTGTTTTTTTCATTAAAATAAAAGAAACCTTAGAATTGTCTTACCAAATCTTTCAAAATTTATTTCCTTTTAGTTATATAAATCCAATTGTTATCAATGTACTTAGGTTGAAAATTTCAATGCTCTTTGGTACTAAAGATGTATCATCTACAGATGTTCATGTGCCTTGGGAAGAAGTAAAGATTCTGGAAAATTCCAGAGCACCAATTTCAGTTTGCACTGTAATTCCCCTATGGGTGACTAGCTAAGGAGAAATCCCTCAAATAAAATAACACTTTACTCATTTTCTTCATACGACTCAAGACAATTTCTTATAATTTTATATATCATTTTTGTTTTTAAGATTGTGTCTTACTGTGTACCTTATGCTTGCCTAGAACTCACTATGTAGCCCTGGTTGGCCTCAAAGTCATGGCAATCCTCCTAGGAGCACCAGCCTCCCAAGTGCTAGATTTGAGGGCATTAGCCATCACACCTGGTTAGTCCAAGACAGTTTCTGAAACATGATAAATGAATGATTGTCCTTCACTCTTTTCATTGAATTATCACTACCTCCCAAACTATTAGTAATGAATTAGCATTGGTGAATTGCAGACTGAAACATTCTCCTTCTTTTTAGGATGCACTCCAGGATAAAGTCCACCCCTCCTTCCAGCCACAGACTCTAGCCTTTCCTTATGCTCAGCCCATACCTTGCACTCCCCTTGCTCAAAACATCCTCCCTTTTCCTCTGCCTGCTCTGGTACCTTCTGTTGGGCCTGTCATTTCTCCTGAAATAGAACAAATCCTTAAAGCTAAAGCTACCTTTCCTAAGCACAAGCAGATGCCCTCTCTTAACTCTCAAACAGTGATCCACCCCTACAACCCTCAAATCCCCAGTCTCACTGATCTGGTAAATCAGCACCTTCCTCAGTCTCTGGTTCAGTCCTTGGTACATCAAGCTCTTCAAGCTCTTCCTCAGACTACTGCGGTTCCTACTCAACTCCAGCAGGCTCTTCCTCAGACCAAAGCTCTGTACTTTCTCCAGCAAGTGGCACCCTTTTTCCCAAGAGATATGCCAGTTGAGGCCTTTCAGCAGTACCTGGATGTTCTGCTCAATCCTGCCGGGCAGTTCCCTGCGGCTCAACCAGTTGGCCCTGCTGTTGTAAGTCTAGATGAAAAGCAATTATTACATAGTTTATTAATTGATGAACTTCAACATTAGCTATGCAATGGAATCACTTGGAGAGCTTCAAGTTCAAGTAATTGAATGAAGTGAACAAATAATTGTAAGGATTCTGAGTTAATCAGTCTTCTGGGAATTCTGACTAAACAAGATCTGAATTTGAAAATCTTATTGGATTTGAATACTGGAAACATACTGAGTAGAGTTCCAAAATTTTCTTTGTACATATATATTATTCACAGCCACACTCTATATGATATTTTTACTATATGTACATGTAGACCAAAGATTGAGGTTTGTTTGTTACTTAGAACACACTGATGGCATGGGCTCTTACAAGTAGGAGAAATATATATTTATTTATTTTGTATTTATTTACATTTAAGGTCTAAGAGGATTTCAAGGTTTAGGTCTCCTCCTCATTTTTGGTAAGTTATTGTAATTTGAAGATTAGAATATTTGCTTTAATAATGTCTTTTTGTATTTCATTCCACTAAATAAACATAGCAGAGTAGCAAGTTCCATCAATATATTAAGTATTATCATTTTATTCTCAATGGTTGGCTGGTTTTTACAACTTGAAGTTAGGCATAGTTTATATTATCAAGGAACTTTAAATTTTATTTATGTGCCATTGATAAATATGACTGGCTTGATTTCAAAGGCTTACATCTTAAGTCATTACTTTTAGGAAAACAGAAACCAGATTTTCTTATACTTTATGTAAATATGTTTTAGTTTCTGCTAAAGACAAATTTTCATTCTAATTTATAATGTAGACTTCATAAACTTCTTATTCACTATACTTAAAATTATCTTTTAATTCATGAGTCAAAATTATTCAGTCCAGATATGAAGAAGGCTGAGTGAAGGAGAGAAGGCAGTTGAGATTAAGGAAATGCTAGACAATGTAACAATTTCAAGTGAACTAAGGCCTCATTGACAAGGAGCTATGCATGCTTCCAAAAATGGCATAACAGAATATATATGTTGCTTTGCTTTAAAAAAATTTTTTTATTAACTACATGATTAGAAGAAGCACTTCATTACAGCTTTAACATATTCAGTAACTCACTCCAGAGCAAGAGTACATATCTTTCACAAGTGGCTGTAAGTTTCTAGGTTCACAGTTGAATTAATACAGTTATACAATATTGAACTCAGTACAAGCCCTGTAAGACATAAAATCAAATGAGTCCTCAACCTTTAAAAAAGATCTCCATTTTAGAATACATTGCTTCTTGCAGAAAGACTCATTGATTTGTTATTAACAACCTTCCTAAAACAAAGACCTCTAGATAGGCTGACTAGATTCACCAGATGGACAAATAGTGGGGAATGGCTGCGGGTGCCGACAACACAGCGGACAGTAGCAGGGATAACAGAGTATAAGGCCTTTAGTGGGGGGAGGGAGGCTATGGGAGGGTGCCATCTGGGAAGTGGGTAGCCATATGGAAAGTGGGTGTACAGTTGAATATGATGGTTTTGGATGGTCTGTGTGATATACACACACATAAAAAAATCAACAAATTTTAAAAAATGTATTATATTTGAGGAGGAAGCATGGAAATTTACATTATGCTAATTAGTAGAGGTGATAAACATTACCATTGAAACCTACCTGATGAGTTTATAGAAATACACAGGTGCCAAGTGTCTGAGTGCAACCGATTATGACTAGTAATAACCAGATACATACAGATGAGAGATGCATAAGCCAACATCTGAGTGTTAGTAGCAATTACTTTTGAAACTACATATGAAGAAAGGTGATTAGTGATATAATAAAACTAATAATTTTATGTTCTTTCTTTCACAGAACTGACTGAGACTGGAAATGCAGCATCTTTTTCATCTCTGTATCATGTTACTGAACATTACATACTTTTGTTTTTATGTTCTAGTATTTATGTATTATGTGGTTTTAATTTTTAAATTGTACTCATGGCCTTATGCTTCCCAAATTATAATTCATATAATACTATAAAAGTTCAATATTGAGTTGGAAATGCATATCAAAATGCGTATGAAATAATTTTTTGGATTGAATTTACTGTTTTCTTTTTGTGAATCTATTTCCTTTCCAGGCGGTTCAATAAATTAATCCTTTAGGCATATTTAAGTTGTCTTGTCTTTATTATAATTTTCAAATATTATGAGACTCTTCAATTTTAACATCAAGTGTTTAGAGACATTACAATTACATAATTAACTTGTGTGGAGATGTATGCCTCTATTGCTAGTACCTGGATGTTGAGGCATGATGCCCTAACATCTGAGGTCAGGCTGGTCTACATAGTGAGTTCTAAGTAAGACTGGGTTACCTTGGCCTAAAAAAAAATAAAACAAAAATGAATAATTTTAAAATATAAAAAATAACCCATGATTATGGAAGAACATTTTGAAGTCTTTGAAATGATGATTAAGTAGATACTAAAAGATGCAGGAAAGATAAATTGATATATATTTCATTTGTTCCATAGAAGAACTTAGTTTATAGCTATTTCCCTGTGAAATTATTGCAACTGCGACCTGAATTCCAGAAGATCTAGCACTCAATGGCAAATTTTGTAGTCATTCTAGGCAAATATTTTCAAATGTGAAATCTACTTCATTCTCTGTAGCATGGCAGCTAAGTGGGGTTGCAGGAAGTATTCTCTCACAACTTCGGTTTGCTCATTTTTAAAGCATTGCAAACAATTTCATCTAAGCTTTTATAGTACACTAGCAACAGTTTTTAAAAATCTCATACATGAGTAGTTTTCACATCATTTATACCCTGTACCTCCCCCATCTTTTTTTCCCGTGTTCCCTTCCCTCTGTAATTTCGTGACTGCTTCTTTAATTTTTATTGTTACACCCAGAGAGAAATCAAATCTCATTAAAGTGTCAGTGATCTTTAATTCTCACACAGAGGTGTGCCAAAGTAAGGGCCCATGCCCTTTCTTTTGTACATGGTTTGGGGTCAGAATATGGCCATGTTTCTTGGAATGGAATTTTTACTCTTAATTTCTGTTTCTCTTACACACTGCTTAGGGATGTCAAGTAGGGATTTTGCTTTGTCACAGTGGTCAGAAATGCTTGGTCTTCCTCATCAAAATTAGTTGTTCATAGTTCTCGCGTGCATGTTACATTTTGGCTATTTATGGTCCTCACTCAGCACAATGACCCCACTGTAGACCAAGATGATCTCCAACAGGTTGACTCCCCATAGAGTTTTACTGTAGGTAAAAGCAGAAGCTAGGTCTTCACAACAGGCAGCAGATAGTTTATAGCCTGACATGAAGCTTTACACAAGTGTCCTCTAGTTTATTTTCTGCAATCTGTAGACTTCTCAGATTCCTAATATTTTGAGGACTATAGCAAAGCCTTGGAACTCACTGGGTGATGATGATGGTAGTCTGACCATGGGTGCCACCAGTGTGCCTGGGTTGCTGGGCCATCTCCATCCCAGTGTGCACTTGGTACATGGGTGGCCAGGGTCTGAAGGTGCATGTTGGCTGCCAGGTCAGCACAGCTCTGCTGAAAAATCTGGACTGGGTGGTTAGGCTGGATCTGCCTACCAGTTTGTGTGTCCATCCTGTAGGTGTGTGTGGACAGACTGGCACACTACTATCGTGGCTCTCCAGTTATTTTCCCTCTTACTTGCCAAATTCTGAGTTCAGAATTTTGAGATCCATACAAAAGGGTTTATAGTCAGGTAAATATTCATTACTCATCTTGTGTAATAATGTTCCTCACATGACCATTGCATGCATTCAGACTCTAGTGAGTAGGTATGTCCTGGGCCCCTAGGCCAGCTGCCTGGGGACACCTCATCCCTGTGCTTTCTTTTCTCTCAACACCATCATTTTGAGCTATCTTGTCATATTTCTTCTTGTATGTATCAAAACTTATACTGAAGGTCTGGAGAGATGGTTCAGCGGGTTAAGAGCACTGGATACTCTTGCAAAGAATCTGGTTTCAGTTCCCACTACTCACATGGAAGTTAAGAACAGTTCAGATCCAAGGGATCTGATGCCCTGTTCTGACCACAGCAGGCAATGCATGACATAGATGCACTTACATACATTCATACACATAAAATAAAAAAAATAAAATTAAATTAAAATAAAACTCATACTGAAGAATGAGTTCTGGGTTGCACAAAGGATTTATTTTTGCATCTGTCTTTCATGCTTTTGTCTAACAGTTACACACAAAAAGTAATTTTGGTAATATTTTGTTCAAAATTTTTGTATTTAAGTTCATGTGAGTTGTAGGTCTCCATTTTCTTTGTGTGACTGTACATATGTATTTTATTGCCTTTTCTGACTTTGGTATTTGAATCAGGATACTAATGGCCTCATGAAATATGCTGATAAACGTTCCTTCCTTAATATTTTGGTATAAATCCCTTTCCTCCCTCCCTTCCGTCCTTCCTTCCTTCCTTCCTTCCTTCCTTCCTTCCTTCCTTTCCACTCGCTTCCTTTGCCCATCTGTCCTTGGCCTCTTGGCTCCCTTTCCGTCTTACCCATAAGAACAACTATGACCAAGGAGACAAGAAAATCTCAAAGCATTTTTTATATGAGACAGCACAATCCACCGTAGTCCTGTCAAAGGCCACTGTGGCGGGACGGGGCTGCATGTGCCAAGAGTGTTGGGAATGATGTTAAAGGCTGTGCTCCAGGTGACCGACCAACCTGCCCACCCAGTCGACATTCTCTTTCTTGTTGTTCCTACAGGAAAACCATAAGGGTTAAGATAGTAGATGAGGAGGAATACGAAAGGCAAGAGAATTTCTTCATTGCCCTTGGTGAACCGAAATGGATGGAACGTGGAATATCAGGTGTGAGATTCTTTAAAATCAACAA